TGGAGGAGCAGCGGCTCTACTCTGAGTCCCTCCCGAATGACTGAGCTTCTCACCCTATCTCTAAGGGAGAGCCCAGACACCCTGCAGAGGAAACTCATTTCAGCCGCTTGTATCCGCGATCTCATTCTTTCAGTCACTACCCAAAGCTCGTGACCATAGATGAGGGTAGGAACGTAGACAGACTGGTAAATCGAGAGCTTCACCTTTTAGCTTAGCCTAATACAATACCTTCTTATAATATTCAGATGAAAGTTGACCAAGCTCTTCTTGCATAATTCGAAGTTTTGCATTGAGAACTCGCATTTGAGCATTGGAAACTCCTAACAAGAAAACCAGAATGGACAAAATTTGACATAAAATGACTTTCCACTGTTTCACCTATTATTTTTAGTTATGAAACATTCAGTTTATGTTTTAGCACAAACATCACCTGTTCCAACATCGTCTTCAACAGTGGACTCCTCCTCCACGACATGGCCCTGGACTACAGGCTCGTCCATTTTCTCCTCCAGGCTCTGAATTGTCTTTGCCAGGAAAAAATCTGCCTCGTCTTCTAAAACCGCACAATCGTCTGCACAAGAGCTTCTGCAATAAAGCAAACAAAGTGAGAATTTTAAGGTTTTTTTTAAGAATCTTGATGGATATAAATAAATAGATTTGATAAATAAACTCACTCTATTTTGTTGTGAGGAGTCTTTGTTGGTTTTCCACCAGATGACTTTTGTGTTGTTGAGGTAACCTTCTTTTGAGTCACCGTCTACAACAGAAGTAATTCATTAAAATTATTTTATCCAAATGCAGCTCAAGATTAAGAACCAATGTTATATGAAAATAGAGACAGTTTAACTTTAATTCAAACCTTAACTCTGGGGTTCTGCAGAACGCTTTGCTGAAACTTTTTTATTCTGTGGCTGAACAGTAGGACACAAAAACTCAGATTAAAAAAATGTCAACACATATTTGTTTTTGTTTCTTTCATTGACAACAAAAATCTGAGAACAGCTGTCTGAAGAGTTTCACTGTGAACAGTGACGGCAAAGCAATGAATCACAAAAAAGTCCCTGACATGAAGGATTTTACCTTCATAAATTCTGAGTTTCCTATTTTATATTGATCACCTGGAGAAGTTTTCATCTTCAGAGTCTGAGAGCAGGACTTTGGATAAGGACTGCGACAAAACTTCTTTTTGACCTTTCTGAAAACACAAACAATCAGCGTCAGCTATAAAATAACAAATCCCTGTTGTTGATGTATTTATTTCCCAGGACACAGGGATACGTGGTCCAAGGAACAAGGTTCTTCATGCGTGGTCCTCTGAGATGTTTATTGCAACAACAGGAACGCAGAGATCAACACAGAGCGACAGGCTCTCTGTAAAAAAGGTCCCACTGAGCCAGTTAAAGGCCTCCTATAAATACTGTTTAACAAACACCATTATAAATACTTACAGATTTGTGTGCGGAAACATGTTGATAACTTACCATAAGCTGCTCCGCTTGTCTTACTACTTCGGCTGTTTTGGCTTCCAGCTCTGCGTTCATGACTCTGAAAGAAATAMAGATTTATTTTGTAATCAATAGCAAGCAGCAACTGAATGCAGAGAATTATTAACTTTTTTCTGAAAAAGTAGAAAAAAAAGTCACATACATGTTTTTTTATGTCTTACTTGTACTGTTCTTCCTTAGCAAAAAGGTCATCTGTGTGAGTTTTTCTTGGACTAGAGGCAGATTTGACCAGCGGCCTTGGTTCAACTTTCTTGGACCTCCTGGTGGAGTTCGGACGGTTTTGGGTCTGAAACAGACGGGGTGGGGGGGGTGGGGGTTAAATCTCGTCTGGAAGCATAAAATATTCCGTTTTGACATTCGTGACACGAACAAATCAAACTGCACACACCGCCGGCTGCTGCGAAACGACCGACGACTGACCTTTTTATCCGAACTCCTTTCAGCCATTTCAAAATAAAAGTTTAAATAAAAGAAAAGTTTAAATAAAAGAAAAGAAACAACCACTAGACTTCTGTTCTGTGGCTACAGACGTTTCGCCGGAGTGTGTGGAGTTAAAAGCTTTAGAACTACACGAGAAGCCTCGTTATCGATTGTTCCGAACGGATAAGTAGCAGTGCTTGTTGCTTAGCAACGGTTCGTTCAAGACACGCGCAGTACGGCGGCCCTTAAAAGACACGAGACCTCTGCGATTTTTTTATTTTTTATTTTTATTTTTTTTTATTTTTTTTTTACATGTTACTGAGTTCTGCTCAAACAAAAACTACGGAAGCGTAGAAAACAGACTTTTCCGGTGTTAAAATGTATTTACGTCTGAGGTGAAGAGTACAGTTCCCTGCGGTGCCGCCATATTGCTGACCACCTGGTTAGAAACATGACCCTTCAGTACAAACTGGGCTCTGTCTGTCTGTCAGGCAGTCTTTGTGTTAGATGCACTGGAGAAATCAGAGAACATGATCCAGACAGTGCTGTCTGCTTTGTCCAGATGACAGTGGGTTTGTTGAAGCAGGTGTATAATGGTGTCTTCAACTCCAGCACGGCAATAAGCAAACTGCAGGGGGGTCCTGAAATTAACCTAGGTGGGCTATGACATATCTATGACTTTCATGATTTGGGATTTCAGGGCAACAGGTCATTGAGGTCTGATGTGTGGGTTTTCTTTGGTACCAGAACAAGGAGGCAGGAGGTCTGAACCTCCTCTTGGGTCAGGCTAAGGATGAAGGTTAAACAAAAAAAAAWAATAATAATTAGAATGCGTTACAATATAACACATTTTAATTTATTTAGAGTATTTTTTTCTTTTGATTAATATTCCTTAAGTTATTTCTTGTGTTCATCATGTAAGACTATAGGATTAAAGCTGTCCTCTGCACATTTACTGTTATGTTTTAACAATGTGTTTTATACTGAATAATTTTAAGTTTACAATTTCATCTCACTTTTACTTATGATTTTAGAATATTTTCTGTCAAGGATTTTGAACAGGTACCTGGGGAACAAATTTCGTTTTCATGTTTAATGATAATAAAGAATCATCTATCTGCCACTACTGTGGATTCCATGTCAAAAAATCACCAAAGTCCTAACAAAGATAATAACTGCACCGGTTTACTCTCTAAATTATTAAGGTATTGTAAGAAAT